CCTGCCACAACGCCTGGCTATTTTTTTTTTTTTTGGTTGCAGCCATCACTGTTGTTTGGATCCGGGCTGGATTCGAACTCGCCACCTTAGGTGTATGTGGCTGGCACCTTAGCCAATTGAGCCACAGGCGCCGAGCCTATAATAGTTCTTTACACAATAATTATTCTAGATACTAAACCCTTATTATATATGACTTGCAAACATTTTCTCCCATTTTGTTGACTGTTTGCAGCATAAAAGCTTTTAATTTTGATGTTGTCCAATTTATCTATTTTTTCTTCTGTCACTTGTGCTTTTGGTGTCATATCTATGTACCCATTGCCTAGTCCAAGGTCATAAAGATTTACTCTTATGATTTCTTTTAAGAATTTTATAATTGTAGCTCTTATATTAAGGTCTGCAATCCATTTGGAGTTAATTTTGGGGGATGGAACGTGTAGGTATCCAGTTGTACCAACACCATTTGTTGAAAAGATTATTCTTCCCCCCATTGAATTTTCCCATTCCACCTTTTAAAACTTTTGGAGGAATGATATATTTAAAGTACTCAGATCTTCAGTGAACACCTCAGTTAGTATTTACATATGATGTGCGCCCTGTGGCCACCATCCAGATGTAAACACAGAACATTCCTAGCCCACCAGAAGGCTCCCCCACACCCCCTCCCAGTTGTTGCTCTCCTTCATAGGAAATCACCATTCTGACTTTTGGTACCATAGGTTGATTTGTCTGTTGTTGGGCCTCATGTAAATGGAACCATACAGTATATATTCTTTTGTGTCTGGTTTCATTCAGTGAACATTATGTTAGATTCAGCTGTATATACAGCATAAGACTATAATTTGGGGTTTTTTCCCATTATTCCATAGTCTGTTACAAGAATATATCTGGATATATTTATCCATTCTCCTGTTAATGGATATTTGGATTGTTCCTAGGTTTTGATCATTATGAAAAAAGCTATAGTGAACATTCTTATACATGCCTTTCAATGAACCTTACTTATTTCCTAGGAATCAAATTTCTTGGTCCTTGAATAGGTATATGTTTAGCTTTAATAGATACCATACTTGTACTAATATAGACTCCTTGGCAAAATATAAATGTTTTACTTGCTCTTTACCCTAGCCAGTG